ACTCCCAAGGACAATTCAGGGGATGACTGATTGAAGACCAATGTTTTCCGCATGACCTCTGTTCGCAAGAGTTTGTTGATTCCTAAGGACAATTCAGGGGACGACTAGTTGAGGACCAATGTTTTCCACATGACCTGTACAGTTGCAAATAAAGTCTGCAAGATAATAATTTACGGTGGCAGTTGTAAGAATGTAATATCTAAAGAGGCTGTCTAGAAGCTGCAATTAAAGATATATTGTCATCCCAAACTGTATAAATTATCATGGCTGAATAAAGGCAGTGAGATAGCAGTAGAGAGGCGATGTCTAGGGTTTTTTTCGATAAGTAAGAAATATTTTGATAATGCTTGGTTTAACATCGTGTCTATCGATGCTCGTCATGTTTTATTGGCTACCTTGGCTGTATGATCGTATTGTTATTCATGATGGATGGAAGAGTACATATTCCCTTAACATCAGAGGAAAGAAGATTATGTTAGCGCTTCGCCTGGAAGAAACTATCCCTGGCCCAGTAGTTATGAATACCAACCTACTTTCTATGTCCAGGTTTTTGGTTGAGATTGGGCGTGAAAACATAGTCTAGGCTCTACTACCTCGTAAGAATATTGAAGTGAGCGCGGAGCCAATTTTACCAACAGAAGTGCAGTAGCTGCTAACGCTTCCTCAATGTTACCACCAGTAAGGGATATTCAACATCAGATTGACCTTATTCCAGGGTCAAGCTTAGCTAACCGACCAGTATATCGCCTCAATCCTAAGAAATTTGAAGAGTTACAGCAATATGTGGTATAATTATTGGAGAGGGGCTACATTCGTGAGAGTAAGTCCATGTGAAGTTCTTGCTCTACTAGAGCCGAAGAAGGACAAGTCTTGGTGTATATGTGTTGATAGCAGAGCAATCAACAATATTATAGTGAAGTACAAGTTCCCAATTTCTCGCCTGGATGATATGTTAGATCACCTGTCTGGTTCTAAGGTCTTCTAAAAAATTGACCTTAAAAGCGGATATCACCAAGTCAAAATAAAGCCTGGAGATGAATAGAAGACGGTGTTTAAGACGTAGCATGGATTGTATGAGTGGGCGGTCATGCCCTTTGGACTATTCAATGTGCCCAACACCTTCATGAGATTTATGCATCAGGTTTCAGCCTTTCAGGATAAAGTTCATGGTAGTCTACTTTGATGACATCCTCATTTATAGTCCGACATGGGCATCACATTTTGATCATCTCCGTGTTGTCTTTGATATGCTAAGGACGGAGTACCTATTCATCAATCAAAATAAGTGTTTTTTCTTCATGGCTTCTGTAACTTTTTTGAGTTTTATTGTGTCTATTGATGGTGTTCATGCAGATTAATCAAAAACAGAGGCGATCTTGAATTGGTCCAAGCCAAAGACTTCACGCGATGTCTGAAGTTTCCATGGATTGGTGTCCCTCTACTGTCGGTTCATCAGAAATTTCAGCATTCTGATTGCCCCTATCACAGAGTACCTTAAGGGACGTGTTTTTCAGTGGATTGAGAAGGCGGAACCTAGCTTTCAAGTGGTCAAGCCAAAAATGACAGCCTCCAGTTTTGGCACCTTCTAACTTTGAAAAAGTGTTTGAATTAAATTGTGATGCATTTGGGGTTAGCATTGGTAGTGTTGTGAGTCTTATCTGGATTGAAGAAGAGTTATTTTACATATGATCTGGAGTTTTATGCCATAGTTCAGTCCCTGAGGCATTGGCGTCACTACCTAGTATAGAAGGAGTTTATTCTAATCATTGATCATGAGACCCTAAAGTACATTAGTGGTCAAACAAGCTTAGTAGACGGCACGAAAAGTGGGTGGCACATTGCATGAGTTCACATTTGTATTTAGACACTAAGTTGGTAGCGTAAATCGTGTCGTAGGCGTATTGATCCATCGCACACTACTCCTTACCACCGTGAGCACGAGAGTTGTAGGATATGAAACATTTCCTAATATGTGTGTTGTAGATCATTCCTTCGAGAAGATAATTCAGGTCGTAACTAATAATCAATGACAAGATTTTATTTTGCATAATGGTTATTTGTTTCGTAGATTACAGTTGTTTATTCAAGATTGTTCATTGATGCAACAGATTATTAGTGAGCTTCATACAGATGGACACTTTGGGTGAGATAAGACATTGGCTTTGGTTTCTTCTTACTATTATTGGCCTAAATTGAGTAGTGACGTGGCGCAATATATAGGGCGAGTTATGTGTTAGTGGTCTAATGGAGTTCTCACTAATGTGGGACTATGCATGCCTTTGCCTTTGCCTGTGCCTGAAGCTCCTTGGATTGATGTCAGCATGAATTTTATATTGGACTTATCCTATATTCAATAGACGATGGATTCTAATTTTATTATGGTTGACAGATTTTCAAAGATGGCATATTTTTGTATCTTGCCCGAAGACAATGGATGCTACCCAGATTGCCCATCTTTATTTTAGGGAGATTGTTCGTTTACATGGTGTTCCCTAGTCCATTACTTCTGATCATGATACCAAATTTATGAGTAATTTCTGGAAAAACTTAGGGGTGAAATAGGAACGTGGCTGAATTTTAGCAGCTCCTACGATCCCCAGACAGATGGTCGGATTGAGGTGGTGAACTAGAGTTTAGGTAACCTTTTGAGAAGTTTGGTAGGGTCTAAACCGAAGCAATGAGATTTGGCATTGCCTCAGGTAGAATTTGCCTATAATCGATTGAAGAACAAAAACACTTGAATAAGCCCTTTCGAAATTATCTATGGTTTGAATCCTGTGGAGTGCTTAATTTAGCCCCTATCCCACGTGTGGGTCGTTTCAGTTACAAGGCCGATTAAATGACAGAACATCATTGGGATATCCATGAACAAGTAAAGCTAGCCATTCAAGAGAGTAATGCTAAGTACAAAGTTCAGGCCGATAGCCATCGTCGTTAAGTACTTTTGATGCTGGTGATTTTGTTTGGGCGGTATTACCCATGATCGCTTTCCTGTTGGAGAGTATAATAAGTTTAAGGGGCGAAAGATTAGACCCCGTGAGGTACTTCAGAAGATCAATGATAATGCCTATAGGTTGCGCCTCTCTAACCATTTGAAGACTTCTAATGTCTTTAATGTGAAATATCCTAGCTCTTAATTTTTGGATTCAACGGAAGCTGTTGTAAACTTGAGGGTGAGTTCTTTCCAACTTGGGCTGACTGATGCAAGAGGCTCCAAGTTAAGTGAAGTCGAGTAGTCAGATAGCACGTTGATGGAGCTAAATTATCATGAGTTGGCATATCGACGCAAAGATGGAAAGTGATCATGAGCTTTTCTCAACTGGGGCAATTTTGTACACGTTTTGGTAATTTGGCCATAACTTTGGCAACGGTTATCAGAATGGCAATTATGAGCCCAACTCGAAAATCTCTTTTCAACGAGCACATCGTGGTCATCTAGCGATTATCGATGACATCAATTTCGAGGCCCAAATCCGTTCTTTTACCTTTCAAATTTCCATTTTTAGTTTTTTTTCCATTTATGGTAATATTTCAGTTGCTGTTTTTGAGGTGATTACGAACTTGATTTAAGCTAGATTTTTGGCAAGATACTTCTTTTGTTACGTATTTTATTTTGGTATGATTATTAGGATTTTGCTATTTTTGGTAAAATTTCGATAATTTCCAATTTTCTCAGCTATATAACCCGGTTTGTGGGTTATTTTTCATCATTCTAGAGTTTAATAAAAGTTGAATTGAATTTCAGAGAGTTATCTCTGTCTTTGGGCATTTTCTTCTTATTATTTCTTGTGAAACATCTGTTGCAGCTAGCCTGCAGGACAATCACCATCTTGTCCGGTGTCACAGGGCCTATCATGGCCCCTATTTGAGTAGAATTATTCTTGCAAGAAAGGTGTTCATGTGAATCTTTAAGAAATTTTATGACACGTGTTATGAAAGAGATATTCACTACCATTTTATTTTCTTTTAAAATTTGAAAATAATCCTTTTTAACAACCATTTCTCGTAAATAAACTTCTCATCAAAAGCTTTCCAATGGTTTTTGAATCGTTGAAAGCCAATACCCGTAACTCTTAAAATTGCATCAAAACGTGAATTATGTGTTTATGAACAAAATATTCAACAATTTGTATAATTAATAAATACTACACATTCCATTAACATATATCTAATATAAAATTCATTTCTTGACATGTATATAATGCTAAATGTGGCATGTTGCTATTGCCTTAATTTTTGGGTGTTACCATTGTACTTTGGGTGATACCACCTCATTTCTAGGTATTATCGACCTACTATTGGAAGAATTCTTGTAAAGTGATTTCTTGAATTTTTAGGGAGTTACAATTCTCTCCTCCTTATAAGAATTTAGTTCTCTAAATTCATGTGAAGGGATTGAGTTGCTTTTCTTGCATTTCGTCTTCTCATTCCAAGTCTCTTCCTTGAGGTATGCATTTTTCCACAAAACTTTGACCTGCAAATCTTCTTTGTTTTGCCATTGTTTCTTTTCATAGGATACATTTTTTTATGGGCCTTTCTTCATATATCAAGTTTTCTTCTATATCAGTAGGGGCTACGGTGAGTATGTGTATCGGTCCGATATGTATTTTCGCAATTCTGATATGTGAAACATATTATAAACCCTACTTAATGTTTCTGCTAATTCTAATTCATAGGCGATAGGACTAACTCTTTTCTTAATCTCAAAAGGTCCAATATACAATGGCATTAACTTTTCCTTTTTACCAAAGCACAATTATCCCTTAACTCACTATTTTAATGAAAGCCTTATCACCAACTTCAAATTCTAAGGGTCGGTGTCTGTTATTAGCATAACTTGGTAGCCTATCTTGTGCTGTGGCAATATTTTTCTTAATCTTTTCTATTACTTTAACCATTTCTAGCCCTAAAATTTGTCATTCTCCAACTTCATCCAAATATAACAGTGATTTATGTTTTCTTCTGTATAATGCTTTGTACGAAGGCATACCAATTGAGGACTAAAAGCTATTATTATAAGCAAATTTGATCAATGGTAAATGACTATCCCAATTTTTCAAAAATTCTAATATACTAGCTCTTAACACATCCTTATTTAATTTTCTTGACCTTTTTGGTGTTTTCCTGCTCAAAGCATCGGCTACTATATTAGCCTTTATTGGGTGATAGTTGATTCTATATTAGTAATCCTTAACTAGTTCTCACCACCTCTGTTGACGCATGTTTAGCTCTTTTTGGTTAAAGAAATCTGTTTATATCACAAACTTTTCTCCATATATTTAATGTCTCCATATTTTTATTGCAAAGACAATCACTGTTAATTCTAGATCATGTGTTGAATAATGCTTCACATATGGTTTTAATTGCCTTGATATACTATCACCTCATGAACTTTCATCACTGCACAATCTAAACCTTGTTTTGATGTGTAGTTATAAATTGCATATGTAAATAAGATTGGTACTGACGTTAATCTTTTCTTATGCTCTTCAAAACAATGCTCACATCCATCTTCATTTGAATGGAATATTCCTGTGAGTTAATTTAGTCATTGGTATATTAATATTTAAAAAAATCCTTAATCTAGGACTAAAGGTTATCTTAGGGATATCGTCTTCCTTAATCTTTAAATAATGATATCCACTGCGTAGATCAATCTTAGAGAATATAGTCATTCCTTGCAGCTGATCAAATACATTGTCTATTCTAGTTAGTGGGTATCTGTTCTTAATTATTACTTTGTTCAATTCTCGATAATTTATACATGATCTCATTGAACTATCCTTTTCCTTAATGAATAATACCGGTGCTTCCCAGGGTGATATGCTAGGTTTTATAAGCCCTTTTTGAGTCATGTCATCAACTTGAAGCTTTAATTCTTTAAGTTTTGTTGGAACCATTCTATAGAGAGTTTTGGATACTAGTGCCATCACTGGAATAAGATCTATTGCAAATTCTATTTCCTTAGTCGGAGGTAATCTGGGTAATTTTTATTTTTTATTTTTTTGCAACGACGTCTGGAAATTCTTGCACTATACTTACTAAGCCTAGTTCATTAGATTTAACCTCACATTGGAGAATACTAACCGAAAAACCTTGACTTTCTTTTGCCATAAGCTTGGTCACCTTAAATGTTGAAATTATGATTCTAGTAGTTTTTTTATGTCTTAGGAAATGAGAAAGTTCCTACTTTAGGTATACTCAAGGTTTTCTTCTTATAGTCAATAGTCACTTGATGTCTTGCTAACGAATCCATTCCCAAGATCACATCAAAATCTCTTAAGTCAAAATGTTCTAAAGCAATAATTGGTTTTAACTTAACATAAATCATACTTGCTACCACTTGATTATCTTCTTGAGCTTTATGTCTACCCATAGCATAAACTCTATCAACCCTATTGTTCTTTTCCTTATGGTAAGGGCATTCACGTATCATATATGTCCTGGTTTACCACATCAAAGGCATACTCATTTCCTAGCAAGGCATTTGCCTAAATGGTTTTTATTGCATTTCACACACCTTAGGATTTCTTTACCCTCAATCTTGTTATTCTTGGTCTTTTTTCTCTTAGGTTGGGGCTTGATTGGTTTCTCATTTCCTTTTCCAATCTTTGCTCGTATAGTTTTTCCTCCTACCACAAGAAACTCGAGCCTGGTTAATTCTACTCTCAGCTTGCTCTATCGTTAAAGCCCTTTTTCCTATGTCTATGAAGTTCGCATTTTTTACTCCGGACATTAGCACATCACTATTCAGTTCAAGCCTAAGTCCAACGATGAAACGGTAAATTCTTAAATGGTCGATTCAACCATATTACTAGCAAATCTCGATAAATCATCAAACTTCTTTGTAAATATAATTGATCCTTGTTTCAATTGAATAAACTCATTCAATTTTTGATATTTTGTCAACCTTGTAAAGTATTTACTCTTAAAAATTTCATAAAATCTATCCTCAAGTCATATTTGAAGTTTGAGCTATTTCTACTATCGAGTTCCACCATTGACCGACACTTTCTCTCAACGTAAATGCAGCACACATTACTTTCTCTCGTTTGGCACAAGCTCATACATAAACATTTTTTCCATCATTTTTAGCTAGTTTTTGGCTTCTAATCGATCTTTTGCATCTGTAAAGGTTGGAGGATTTAATCTCCAAAATGATAATTCCATTCTCTCTAGCTGGTTGTGGCTGAGCTCTATTTAATATTTGTCCTATTTTTTGTGATTGTTGTTCTACTAATCGGGTCAATCGATCAGTGGTTAGATTAGCACGTGCCATTTTTTTTGAAAATGATAATGATTAGTGTCTAAAAGTGCTTTAAAGATATATCATTTACAAGATATTTTACATTCACTTTGTTTAAAAACACTAATGTTAGTCTCTAATTTCAATTCTCTTGCCGTAAATTCAATTTCCATAAATACATGGTTAAAAATTCAATTAATTGAAATACGTATTTACGTACATGTCGGCATGAGTATTATACATTTGAAAAAGTATTTATTTTATCTTCCATATTTCATATGAGTTGAATAAAAGATCAAGAGTAATTTCTACCCATTTATCCGAAGTGAATCCCCAACGTTTTAGTGTTCTTCTCCATCGTATTTCCACCAACCATTTACCACTCATAAAATAGTTTATTTCCTTCCAATTCCCTATGATTCGACCTCGGACTTTCGAGTTTATTATTTGCGACAACCTGCACTTGGATTTGCAACCTTAAAGTTGTAGCAGATAATTTGAAACCTTTTAGTAGAGTTGCTTCGTATCCACCTTGAAATAAAGTAGATAAGATATGTTTTTACTTCAAATTGAGAATAAAATTCTTTCTAAAATATCACTAAAACGTTCTTTTATTCTCAGCAATTTCCAAATTTCTTGGTATCAATGGTCTTATTGTTGAGAATTTACTTAACATACACAGGGAAAAATAAAATAAATTTCAATTCTCACCAAGGATCTGCTTTGTGTTTAGATAAAAATTGTGATAGGAATTATACCTTTGTTGGATTCTACAAACTCCTTTACTTTTCTTGAATTCAAACAATCACGGTCTGCAATCCACAATTGTCTAATTGTCTAGCCTCCAATGGAAATCTACACAGGGAACATGGTTGAGAAAACTAGGTTTGTTTTTTTTGTGCTAGCAAGAATAATTATGCTCTCTCTAGATTTTTCCATACCCTAGCAACTTATTAATATAAGTCCAAGTGGATTTGGCCAGTCATTAACTTATTCCTATCTAATATTTAATTAATTAAATTAATTAAATTTGGTCCATGAATTAATTAATCCAATATTCATTAACTAATTCAACCTATTAACAAGCAATCTAATTAAATAATTGTCCAACACTTGTCAATTAATTAATTGGTAAATCCTATTTTTCTAGCTCTTCTTTTCTATATGGTCCATCAAGTTCTCGACGACGATGCCTTATGATGTGAATTCTTATTTTTATCTAATCAATATTGATAAATTAAAATACCCATTTCTAATTTATCACTAATTCACATTCGTCTTTCCAGATTGACATCTAGCAATGTGTCAGGGCAATATCTGCGACAAAAAATGTTACATGGTATGACAAGACCAAACTTGTTTGTTTACCGTGAAACTATAATCCTTTTGTCAATATAATTCAATCAATTACGAGATATTAATATGCGTCAATCTTAATTATCAATCATATCTTTCATTCCACTATTAAGTCAATGTAAGTCGAATTTTTTTGACTTATAACTACACCTTGGCCAAGGATTTCGCTAGCAACTTAACGGAATGAAATGTAGATCATAATATCTTATTATCTAATAGTGACGAATGCCCTATTGATCCTTCACAACCTTCATATAATTCTTGACTTGATCGAACAATGTTGTATTAGCGATCCTTGACAGAACAATGTCCAACATCACTAAACTGTCGTAATATAAGACACTGTGATAATCTTAAGTCAAAGGGCCAATTTCATTATTGAACGTTACAGATTAACCATTGATCTTCAGATAGTTATCTATATGGAATCTCCCAGTGGGTCTTCAGTATTTTGTTCTATAACAAAACATTCATGTGTTCATTTAAGTGTCACCATACTTTAGCTTATGGAATCAGCTAATTACTTCACAAGTAAGAAATGTCATACATGATGGACTATCCGTAATAATGATATCTGTATCTCGTTATTACTTACGACCCCGGATAATTTAAGATTCGGTCATATGTAATTTGTATCTCACAATCACAACTCATTGTGATTAACTAATTACCAAAATTTGAATCAACAGATTCTATTATTTAATTTATTAGAATATTAATTAAATAATAGATCTGCTATAAATTGCATGAATTATATATTAAAAGTATTAATGTCCAAAGTTGATTGGACCTAGGCATAAAACTTACAAACTCCCACTTGTACTAGATCCAATCACTTATAGCTATTATCATAAGGGTCTACATTATAATCGTGTTTTTACTGTGACAACTTTTTTAGTAGATCTGCAATATTATCAGTAGTGGAAATTCATTCTTTCTTTACGTCATTTCTTCATATAATCTCTCTGATGAAATTATATCATCTTAATACATGTATGGAGCATTGATGAGACCTTAGTCCCTTCACTTGTGCGATGACTCCATTGTTACCATAATACAAAGGTATGTGATCAACTAATTGCACTATAATTAAGAATAAACACATGTCTTGACTAAGACTTGCCATTCTTCTAGTCTGACAAGAAGTTAGAATCAGTATATCCAAGAACTCTCAATTCATTTTCTCCATATAAAATATTCTCAAGTTTTTATCAATGTAGATTGGGATGAGTTAAACAATCTTTTATATCTATCTCTATAGATTAAGTTGTTTTCCCATATCTTTTATAAATAAATCCTTTAACAACCACAATTTCAACGGTTGAAACATAGAGATGTTGTTACCTATTAATAATGATCTTTATAAAATATTAAGAAAACGATAATGCTCTCGCTATCTTCTTATAAACACTCAATTCAATCAAACCTTTTGATTGTCTCATTAAAGTGAAGATTCCAACTTCTAGAGGCTTGCTTGAATTTATAAATGGATCAATCAAGCTTGCATAACTTGTAAGCATATTCAGATTCAAAACTTTCGAATAGTGTCATGGACACTTCCTTTTGTTAGTTTCTATTAAGGAATGTAGTTTTGACATCATTTTGCCATAGCTCACAATCATGATACTTAACTATTTCAAGCAAAATCTAAATAGACTATAGCATGGCCATAGGCTGGAAGGTTTCATTAAAGCCAACTCTTTATCTTTATTTATAACCTTTTGCTACTAGTCTTGATTTGTATATATGGATGTTTGCATATATATATCGACCTTTTTTCGCAAACCCATTTACAACCTATATGTTATATCCCATCATACTGGTCGATCATGGTCTAAACTTTGTTTACATACATCGAGTTCATTTTGGATTCCATAGCCTTTTACTATCTCTTTGAGTCAACATTTGACTTTAATTTTGTACAATTAATAAGTTCATTATCCTCGATTAGAAATACCTGATTAATAATCATAGATTTGCACCTTCTTAAAGGTCAAAAGGTCCTGGCAGATTTGCACGGAGCTGACATATACTTATGAATCTCTACTTCATAATCAAGAGTATGCCCCTTAATAGGTGTCAGATCAAACTCAGATTTATAAAATTGGTCAACTATATTTAGGGACTCTTGAACTCCTTCAAATTCTATTTTATTCCCACTATCTTCTTCTAGAATAAACTCTTGCACTAGGAAGACGATATATCATGAGATGAAGACTTTCAAATATTTGTTTTGAATATCCCACAAATATGTATTTATCGAATAAGTGGATATAGACTCAAGCTTATCTGCTTCAATACGTTTCAAATATGCGTCACAGTCCCAAA